TTCCAGGTTGTCGGTCCGCGAGATCAGGAGCAGACTAACTATTTCAGTTGGTGAGCATCCATCAGTAAGGACGTCGCCAACTGGTCAAAACTCCTTTCGAGCCTGCTGGGTTCGATTCCCAGCGCGCGCGTTAGAAACGCCCCCGTCGATTTTTGCTTTCACCATTTACGAGAAGCAATTTTAATCATGCACTAATACAGCAAATCCCTGTCTTTGCAAACGACTCAGACAGTGTATCCATCAATCCGACACATAATAGCTAGGTGGTCTCTCGAGCTCCCCACCAAAGCCGGCCGCGGAATTCAATTGCAACTCACCCTCCAAAACCCGCATCCGATCCCTCAGAACCTCATTCTCCTCCGCACCAACCCCAACCGCGTCCCTCAACTCCTCCAACTCTCTCTGCATCGCACGGAGTTGTATTGGACTGACTTGCTCTCGACTCCCTTCTCGTGCTCGTTCAATCAACTCCGCCTTGGAGTCAGTTCTGAAGGGCACAGTTCCGTCTCCAGTGAACGGCTCGAGGTCATGTATCTGCCTCCGCAGCCGCCGGCGACGCTGAATGCAGAAACACGCCGCGATGCCCGAGCTGAGGAGAGTCAACGCACCGAGAACCACCCCCGCGATGATTCCTGGGGCAGGCTTCCTTCAAGGTTTTTGAGATGGTTCCCGAAGAATTCGACATTGCGACTCACCCGCCCAGGGAAGCTCCAGATCCCGTGCCGCCGTTCGAGCCGCCATTAGAAATTGAACTGCTACTCTTCGTACTCTCGCTCTGACTATCAGCAGCGAGCTGGAAGACCTGAGTAGCGAACACATCGGTCGTATTCTTCGCATCCACGAATTGCAGCGTATACGCTCTGCGAGGTTCAGGCCGTCTATGACTCGGAGGTAGATACCAGAACGTAATACCCTGAAGGCCTCTTGCCAAATCCGTCAACAGTAAAATTGAGGTCTCCAGCATCCACAGTGCCCATAGCGAGCGGTTTGCTCAGCCGGAATAAAGGCTAAAAAATTAGTCACCGCCGCCACCATGAGATATATAGGTCATACGCTGTTGACTTGGATAATAAACTGCCTATCTTCGTGTATTCAACGCGGGCACGCACGCAGGATCCGTTGCATTTATCGTCCAGGTGACGTTTATCGAGTTGCTGCTGGTGACCGTACCGGTTGGGCTTGTGATCTTCAGCGCCCGCACATGCACAAGGGTGGCGCACAGCGTCAAGGAGACGATGCATCTGCTGCGGCAAGATTAAATTGAGCCGTCCGAAGATTCTTTGTGAAGAGAGAACGGACAGGACGAGTCTGGACTGAAATGCGTGCCAGCCTCCGAGTGAGACCATTCCGGTGGTCGTGGTCGGAGGAGTGGGGAAGGATGGAAGGGGAGGACAAGGGAGGAAATAGCTGTGAGGAATCACGTAGTAGTAACGCGACCAGGATATCAATCAAAGGATCATGGTCAGATCCAACGGAGGTCTATTTCGCTGCGAATTCAGTGTATTCCGAGTCGTCGCGTCCACCAGACGTAGAAGCCAACAGGGCGATTGTATCCACCAGCAGAGATGTTTCCCAGATGCCAGAAGCGGATCACGGCGCCCATGAACCCGTTCCTCGCCACATCAAACTCAGTCCCATCTCGCCTACTCCCGGTACATATACATTCATAAGTTAATAATACCACAATCAGGCTACATATACGCCGGCGGCGGCGGCTCTACAATGGCAGAGCTCTGCCCCTGCAGCTCATCTTCCAACATCCTGATCCTCGCTCTCAGGATCTCATTCTGGCTCGCACTATGCCCAACAACGCCTTGCAAATCCTCCAGCTGCCGCTGTACGTCGCTCAGGTGCCCTTCGAGCCGTTCTCGGTCTGCACTGATTTTCTCCCGCCCTTCAACTCCGACGGCAACCGAATCCCCGGTTGATGGTTCGGAAATCCACCGCGTTTCTGTATCAAGGCTAGCGCTCGACGCCAAAGTCCCCGCCTCGGTCGCAGACAGCGCAGATACGCGTCGTCGTCTTCTCCTCCGATACCGATGAACGCAGAGACATATCCCGATGCCTGAGATCAGTGCCAGAAGCGCGCCGAGAGCGATGCCGATAATGGCTGCGGTGGTGATTGGGTTTCTGTCAAAGATGATTGGGTTGGGTTCGTTGGCGAACTTGAGGTATTCGTACCTGCTTGCGACAGTGTTGTTATCAGCGCCCGTAGGAAGCGGAGTGCGACTGGAGGAAGATTGGCTTGATGCCGTCGTTGATGTCTCCGTACTCGACCCTGCCGGTGAAACAACAAACAGAAGTGATGTCTGGGATGTCGCGGCAGAGCTCGAAAAAGAAGTTGCCGTGGATGGGGGTTGAGTCAATGGAGTGGTAGGAGCCTCAAGAGTCGCTGCCGCCGAGCTCTGATCACTCGACGTGACCGGAACTACACCGGCAGATTCTCCGGCTGCTGTGATCTGTACATCTCGACTCGTGAAAATCCGGGTAGTGTCGGATGTATCGACGAGCGCCATAGTGTAGTCTCTGCCACTTATAAGCATCAATTCACGGCAAACCAAGAAGCATACCCGGGGTTGATATCACTCGGCATGGTGAAACTGAAGCTGCTGTGCACGGCATCGACGTTCTTCGCTACCAATATAGCGCTCGAGTCCTAGACAGCGCAGTGAGTGAATCCGAAGTTGAGCTCCAAAGAAGGGGAATCCTCACCGAGTTGATGAGGTCGACGCTAAACTGACTGGAACTCAAGTCAAGTCCGGGTGTAAACATCCGAATGCAAACGCACCTCGGATCGCCCGACTCTCTAATCCACGAAATAGTCACCGCCGACCCCGCAGGATACGAATTTTCTATCGGACCAGTGATGACGAAGGAGAGCACTACGGGCACTCCCAGCGCCAGCGCCAGAAAAGCACTGCAGTAGGATTAACTTTCTTCAATGCAGCCGAGACATGGGACTCACAGTCGGATTCCACCGAACATCCCAGCGCATAAGTACTATGCGAAGCGCTGCTAGCAGGGGGGGGGGGGGGGGCAGCCGTCGAAGAAAGGGTTGAAGAATGGAGAAAAAGAGGGAGGGAGGGAGGGAGGGAGGGAGGGAGGGAGGGCGTGTATACTAAGCAACCCCGGATATCAAGCGCGCCCGAGTGCCTGGTAACACGTTGAGAATCTCCGCATGCCACGACGCCAAGTCGACCATTCAAGATCTTCTATCCATCTTCGGATGGATCCGGAGACGGGGTGACGGCGATCTGTCGTTCACAATCGTCGAGTTGGATTATCTTTCCCTGCCATGACGATAGTGACCACTCTACAGAGGAGATCAAAGAACAAAGATCCACGACCTCCTGCTATGACAATCGTGTTGGAATTGTCCGCCGGGAGAAAAATCTGGGATGCGAAATTTCAGACGGCCTGATTCGAACAGACCTGTCACCTAGGTGGCTACCAGATGCATATACATCTGCGCTCGAGTTGCACTCGATGGATGGACCACATCTCCTGCCAACGAAGAGTCATATTTGCATGCAGCGTGATAACGTCGAAGGTAATCTGCTGGGAAGAAAGACAAAAAGCGGAGCGCCTTCATATCGGTGACTTAGGGACCCGGGCCTGAATCGAACAGGCATAACCAACAGAGTGAATATACGGATTGCGGATGTACTGAACGCATACCCTCTGCCATCGAGTCGTCCTGGTATCCAACGAGCAGCCATAGGGTATAATGGATTCAGGAATCGAATAGCCATATACCCACCTCACCAGAATGTGGAATAAACTCTCGGATCATCGACTCGCCGTAGAATCCCAGCCATGGATGACCCAATTGTTGAATGTAACCCTTGCAGATAGGCCCCGAAGTTCCACCCTCTGACCAGTAACTGAGTTGAACAAATAATCAGCGGAATAATCCACATGCTTGCATTTGGTGGAGAAAAAGAGAAAACCCGGGACACCGAATGACTCGAGCCTGAGTCGAACAGGCGTAATCCGCAGAGTGAACATCTACTGGACCCCGATGGGCCGATACCATGCGGATGCATAACCTCTGCCATCGAGTCGCATTTTAACCTGACCAAAAGCACGATACAAAGACTTCCTCACCTTGAATAAAAAGTTGAACTTGGGAACAGAAAGTTAAACACCCCGCGAGCAATCCAAAAGCTCACTGCGACTCGGCCATACCTGCAGGAGAACATCACGGCTGCAACCACCGGTCAGAAAACGAGATGGCACAAGTCAATCGACCATTAGCCCTGGCAACCAAAAGTGATTCAGAAAGAAAGAGAAAGGGCGAAAGAAATGCGCAAAGACTCGAGCCCGATTCGAACGGGCGTAATCCGCACATATATGGAATCCATCTCCTACATGGTGCGGACGCATGCCCTCTGCCATCGAGTCACATTAGATCCCAGTTCAACACTAGTAGGCCACCACGAACAAACACACTCACTTGGACAAAAGGTTTTCAACTAACCTCCTGTGAAGACGTACGTGCGAGAGCCGAGTCGGCCATCATTGCAATCAAAGCCTAGGCGCATCAACATCCTCCTCCAGTGTAATTCAGCGATGTGCTCTGAAAGGTTTTGAACACACTCACCAGAAACGCCAGGATTCAAAGGAAAGAAGAAAAAATTGTCAGCCAAACTACACAGACCAAGACTCGAGCCCGATTCGAACGAGTGTTTTGCGCAGAAGGTAAGGGCAGCATATCGTGCGGATGCCATCGAGTCGTATTTCAACCCAACCAAAAGTACGACAACAAGACTTGCTCACCTTGGACGGACATCGGACAGTGGGGAAGGCCATGGCCATGGAAAGCCCTCATACACCCATGCACTCGAGTCATCCAAAGGTCGACTGTGAACGATCCCGAGTGGGGTCTCGCAACCATCTGAGGTACTCACTAAAATTGACCTATAGGTACGGCAAAAGTCAACACTGTTCATCATATCCAGAATCAAGAAAGAAGAAAAAACACCGCCATAACTGCACCAAGACTCGAGCCCGATTCGAACGGGCGTAATCCGCACACCATCATGTTTCGCATCGTAAAAGTGGTGCACGCATATCCTCTGCCATCGAGTCGCATTTGAACCCAACCGAAAAGCAGGGTACAAAGTCCTCCTCACCTTGGTCCTTGCATAGCCAAAAATCCGAAAGTTCAATATCACCGTCAGTTCCACGGCTGCAGCCAGCCCCGGCAACCAAAGGTGAGTCAGAAAGAAACAAAAAAGACCGACGAAGATGTAAATCCCCTAAGACTCGAGCCCGATTCGAACGAGCGTAATCCGCACACCATCGCGTTTGGCATCGTAAAAGTGGTGGACGCATATCCTCTGCCATCGAGTCGCATTAGCACCCAAACCAGTCGAGTGATATGCATACACCCACTTCAGTTTCGAGGCAAGGTCCCATCGACACACCTTCTCCCCCCGTGAGAGATTAAACAGGCACACTCCAATGTAGTCAGTGATGTGCTCTGAAGGGTTTTTGAACACACTCACACCCACCACTCAGTCTACCAGAAGTGCCAGGATTCAAGGGAAAAAAGAAAAAGGGATTCTATATAACAACATAAGACTCGAGCCCGATTCGAACGGGCGTAAATCCGCGGACATCTATCAAACTCGTTCATTTAGTGCGGACGCATATCCTCTGCCATCGAGTCACATTAGCACCCAACCAGTCGAGCAATATACATACACCTACTTGAGGTTCGAGGAAAGGTCCTCAACCGTCCATCGACACGCCTCCTTCCGCAGCCACCGATGCCGGTCACAGCCTGAAGTAGTATCCTTCGTCTCCATCCACAGCAAATAAAATAAACCAACCCTTGCAGCACATGTTCGGGCCTGATTCGAACAGACACCTATACTTACCAAGGCAGGCACGTTCCCGGGAACGTCAACAATCGACACACCCGCAATACTTACCCACAGCCAAGAATATACCGATCCGATCCGATGCCATCCTCCACGTTCGTACCTTCCCTTCCGGAATTACACACTCACTCGCACAAAGCACGCAGAGAGTTCGAAGGACAGAAGACTGACGGAAGGAAGAGAGCCATGTTCTCGGATACGCGATACGCCCCCGCCGTCGGGAAGCTCGCAAGCGTCGCCAATCCAGAATCCATCGTGCAACGCGTTCAAGGGGTGGCAGGAAGAGAAGCGCAGGGAGAGCTATATCCGTACCTTGCTCCTGTCTGCAGCCGATCGCCCCTCCGCCGCAGCTCCCACTAAAATGAAAAGGCGGCCCTAACATCCATACATTTAGCAGCAGCAAAAGGTTTACACAAGAAGGGGGTAGAGATACAGAGTCCTGGCGTGGCGTGGTGTGGCATGACATGGGTAAGTCGAGGTCCGGGGACTAGGGGAGTGAGGATCGCCGGGTGTCGGATGTCGGGAGAGGAGGGAGGCATCGCTTGTCCGCCATCGTAATCACATTCTGAAGAAGAAAAGGCGTGTATGTCAAGTTCGTTGACCGGCTAAGATACGGGCGGTGGACGGAAGCCGCCGTTAAAGTCGGCCGAATTGGACTATGCGGTGGATCAGCAGGCGACGCAATGAGGAGGGGAACGAGGACGTACAGAGATGTGAGCGCGCGGTGGTGGGCCGGGAGGCTGTATACAAACTGAGCGGGATGACACAGACGAAATAAGCAAGACGCACTGGAGCGTAGTATCCCGGTGCCGGGCCAGGTACGGCATCAATAGGCGGTGGCGGAGGTCCCGGAGGCTATACACAGACGATGTCAGCCACGCTCGGGACGACATGGAATAGCACGCACGGGAGAATACGGGCCTGCGCCTCCCTCCTTCACATACGGCGGCGGGGCAAAGTCGGCTGCGCTCGCAGGCGGGTACTCTGTCTGATATCCCCTGTACGAAAAAGGGGTCGTCGTAGGTGTGGGCGTGGTCTGGGCGCTGGGCCGAGTCCCGACATACTGCAGCCCGTGGGGAAAGGTAGCGTCGGTGAGCGGCAGCGGCGGGAGCCTCGTAGCCTTGAGACGATGAACCCGCCGACGTTGGACACAGCAGCAGAACAGGAACAAAACCACGGCCGCTGACCATGGGTGTGAGTCGTGTGCGTACCACTATCGAATGTGTGGGTCCCACCTACGACGAAACCGATAGCAGCAGCAGAGGGTGTGACGTGCCTCCTGTCGCCATTCGGATCGTTCTGCGCAGCGACAAGGCGGGCGTTGACGCTGAGCAGGACCGCGAGCGCAAGGGACCAAGACATGGGAGAGGAAGAGACCTGCCGGCGCTTACGTGACGCCCGGAAAAATAGCCGCCCTTTTGATCGGCCGACAGCTTTCTCTTTGACTCCTCCACCATGAACAGCTTTCAAGAAAGTCTAGTTGTCTCGTTTCAACAGCTTTCTGTCTTCATCCTCTACCGCAACTGTTTCTCCATTTCTTGGACCGCCTCGTGGAATCCATGCTCCGGTGGCGTTTCTGCGGGCAGTTGGCGGGCGGTGGAATCCTCGCTTCTCTCCGTGCCAGATCTTGGCAGGCAACTGATGCCGGAACATTGAAGCTGTAATGTCTCCTGTGTCTGGACTCTAGACTCGGCTCCGTCTCAGCATGCAAAATGCAAAAGGACCCGCGCTACTGTGTAACTCCACTTGCCAGAATCGAACAGGATATCTTCTCATGTATGGGAATATGTGGAGCAGATGCAAGTCCAACACTTGCCAGTACAAGCACCTTCGACTGTGCTATCCCCTCACTCATCCCCTTCTCGCCCAATTTCTCTGCAACTATCTTATCTGGCCGCTCTGGACTGCTGTTCCCACGGACAACACCGGCTCGAGTTGATCGAATACGCACCTTTTCCGAGTAGGAAATTGAAATGGTACTCCAACAGAACCCCAAGTGGACAGAAAAAAAAATGGAAAGTTGGACTCAAGTTCCACACATTCATGGCTCAGTCCCGAGTCGAACGGGCTTCCCGCAAACTTTGTAGACTGCATCCGGCCCTGCACATATAGCGGGTGTGGCCAACCACCACTGAGCTCACGGTCTCCCTCCTCCGACTGTGGTTTTCTTGTCTGGTTGCGGATACGCGATTGGTCACGCAGACCAGCGATCACCGCTGTCACCCACCCTACAACCTACAGCCTTTATAATTGGTCGAATCCGGGCGACTATTCTCTTTTCCAACACTTCTCTCCGTCAGATCTCAGGCAACTGATGGCGGAAGACTGAAGCTGTAATGTCTCCTGTGTCTGGACTCTATACTTGGCTCCGTCTCAGCATGCAAAAATGTAAAAGCAGCCTGTTCACCTTGGAACTCTGCCAGCCTGAATCGAACAGGACATCTTCTCATGTATATATGGGAATGCATACGTGGAGCAGATGCAAGTCTAATACTTGCCAGTACTTTCGAGTGTAGTACGCCCTCACTGATACACTTCTCGCCCTTCTCGCCCGATTTCTCTGCAGCTACATATATCTGGCCGCTCTGGACCACTGTTCCCACCGACAACGCCCGCTCGCATTGCTCGAAAACGCACACCTTTTCGAATTGGAACAGAACCCCAAGTCGAAAGACTCGAACAAAAATGGTTTGAACACAGATCGCCCAAGAGCTGAGTCCCGAGTCGAACGGGCTTCCCGCAAACTTTGTCGCTGCATACAACCCTGTACATATAGCGGGTGTGGCCGACCACCACTGAGCTCAATGTCTACCCCTCCGACTGTGGTTTTCTTGTCTTGTCAACCCTCCTGCGCATCCCCGCGCAGCATCCGCAATCTGTCTCGCAGCAAGAATCAATGATCATTAATGCATTACTGCAACTGCACATCCTACAGCCTTTGAATAGTTACTGGTCGAAGCCAGGCGACCAACTATATGTTTCGTGGCGTTCAAAAAAAGACCAGGGTCGTTGCCACATGACCCAGCCCTGAATCGAACAGGACTCGCGCAGAAAACTCAGAGCCAAACTCATAAGCTCACGGGGTATCTTAACGCCTCCTGGTTGTCTGAATCCTTAGCTCGGTGATGTCAAAAATGACATTCTGAATATCAACGCATAACCCAGTCCCGAATCGAACGGGATTCCTGCAGACTCTCAAAGCACAGAAACCACGAGCAGCAAGCGTGTCCAACCACCACTGGGCACAATCCACAGACAATTTACTGATTATATGGGGTTGCTTCCGGCCTACATCTCCGAGAACTTGAACCGAAGGAAAAACCTAAAATCACTGCGACTTGTTTGACATGCATACCCAGCCCCAAATTGCGATATCCGACAAGACCGGTACCCCCTCCTCAACGCTTCCTTCCTTCCTCATTCCTCCTTGCTCCTCATTGAATCATATTCGCAATCCTATTCTTGTCAAACATGGTTGGTTTGAGACGATCGAGACAATCTCACGGACGAATCCACTCCCGCTGAACCAAGCAATGTAAAATCGAACCCGCGACTGAAACAAAAATCTCGCCTTCACAGTTGCGCAATGCATTGCTCAGTCCCGAGTCGAACGGGGTTCCCACCAACAGCCTTGGTTACTATTTCGTCCATATATAGCGGGTGTGGCCGACCACCACTGAGCTCAACGTCTGGCATCCGCAAGCAAGAATCAGTGATCACTGCTGCGCACACATGCTGCTGCCTTTGGATGGCCGAAGCACAAGGATCCAACGTTGAACGGGTGCTGGCCAGCAAGAAGAGAGAAAAAACCACATTATCTACAACTCATGACCCGGCCCTGAATCGAACAGGACTCGCGCAGAACACTCAGAGCCAAACTCATAAGCTCACGGGTGTGGCCATCCACCGCCGGATCTCATACACGGTGTATCTTAACGCCTCCTGGTTGTCTGAATCCTTGGCTCGGTGATGTCAAAAATGCCATCCTGAATGTAAATGCATAACCCAGTCCCGAATTACATCAAGGCAATGGCAGCACATGTAGCAAGCGTGGCCGACCACCACTGGGTATAATCCAGAGTCAAATTATCCATTATATGGAGCTTCCTTCGGCCGACAAATTTGCGATATCAGCCTCAACGCAAACTTCCTTCCTCCTTCCTCCTTCCTCCTTCCTCCTTCCTCCTCATCAAATCATATTTG